TTATGTATTTTATATAAATAAAAAAATTAATTATTTAAATGATATATTAAATTATATAAAAAATAATATAAAAATATTATTCTAAAATCATTCTTCAACGCCATCTCATCACGGGACAAATGGATATTTTGACAGTACTGATTTATATATTTTTTCTTCTGATAATAGTTAGGAAGTTAGTAAAGTTAGTTTGTTAGCAGTTGAGATTTCTCAGAATGATAAACATTCTACCTCTTCATATGAGGCGCGCGACCATTAGATCACAAGTTGGTAAAGTTCACGATGATAGCAGAACTCAAAGCCTGACCTCCGCCTCACCTAATCCCTAAGATTTGAGAATCAACCATTGAGCCTCAAGCCGAATTGGTGACAGTACTGATTTCAGCAATTAAATATGGGGTGGTTGGTATTAATAGATGATTTTGGGTGACATTTGTCTTGGTTTTTTTGAGGGTAATTTTGTCCCTGCATTTTTATTTTAGAGGTGAATTTAAAGATTTTATCCCATTTTTAATCCCTCCATTAAAAAATCACTAACATAGTGATGTTCTGTTACTTGAATGTGGCAATGAGGAGTGAAGATGGTTGATGCATGAAGGACAACGGCAATGGTGTGGGAGGAAAACGTATGAAGGATGATGACCATGGGCGAGAGTGTGGGAGGCAAACAAAAGATAAAGAAGGATATTAGGGTTTTGACTTTTGAGGAAGAAGGGGAAAAGAAATAAAAAAAAAGGCAGAATTATAAGTTAATACATTTTAATTCATTAATATTCATTGCTTTTTGCCATGTCACCCATTTTGTTGTAAATCCTATGCCTTTTTTTTTTTTTTGGTGATGTGTCATAATTCTGTCATATATTTTTACATATTAGCTCCCAATCCAAGTAGATTGTAAAGAAGGATATTAGGTATTCATTATACCATTAATCAACCAGCCACTTAAGCTAAAATTTATAAGGAAGACTTAAAAAATCCAAAATTTCAAACTTTAAATATTAAATTAAGAATTTTTTTAATTTAAAAATTAATTTGAAAGTTTATACAATAATTGAAGAACGAAAAATGAGTTTAACTAAGAATAATTGATGTCAAACCGTGTAATTGCAAAGAAATTTCTTCGCTTGAAAGTCGTTACAAGAAATTTACGCTAGACATCCTATCAATTTTGTTGAAATTTCAAGGATGTTACATTCGTTGAGTAAAAATTGCAATAGCCACTTATGACTTATGCAACAATAGTGGAAGAATATTGACATATGGGAAATAGGCGCAATGTACGTCAACAAAATTACTAAATTTAACAGTTAATTTTAAAAAATATATTGAAAGATTACGGGTTGAAACATACCACGATAATACTCATTTTCAAGATTGAAAGATTAATTGAAAAATTGTAGCTGACGTCCCCCTCTTCTCCTCCCGTCCTTTCACCTCAAATAAAATATTCTATATACAAGTATATTGGAAGATTACTTATTTTCAACAATCATTTTATAAAATGTCACGTATGTCCGTTTTAATTATTAAGATTAGTTAAGTACTTAGGAGGTGAAACGTGATTTCTCATCTCTCGATCCTCTCTCTTATCGCATAATTCTAGTCGAACAATGAAGTCGACAACGACAAACCAACTTCATAGTGGAATAGTTGGGGCAGGTGGTCTTTTCAGAGGTCACCTTCGGAACTTAATTTATCCTTGGATTTTCTAAAAGAGTTGGTAGGACTTCTAGCATATAGCTGCTGAATTATGGGCTATCAAAAGATGAATTAGGATTGACTGTCAATAGGATTTTTCATAAACTTTTAGTTGAAATTGATTCTAAATGTGCTAAAATGTTTCTTTATTATTATTATTATTATTTCTTTATACTGAAGGGGAAAAATGAGGAGATAGAATAATGAAATGAATAAAAGATGAATCAGCTATTCCGAAGTGAAAAGAAAAGAAGGGAGAAGAAACTAAATTCATTTTGAAAATATTGCTTGAGCCAATTATATTGTCACCCAATTCTGAGGATGCAAGACGAATGAAAAGATCTTCCCCACCACTGGAGAACCCTTGCATATGTCTTCATCACTCCACTCCACAGCAGACACCCTATGCCCTTTACATATGCATAAGCCTTGCAAGAAACATTGCATGACCAGAGAGTTACTTCATTCCGATCTACAAGCTTCAGATTTCCATCACTTCCAATCTTTAGACTTGCCAATGAATCAATAACTGGATTCTCTCTGTTGGCCACCCAAACAACTGTACGAGGAGCAATATTTTTATACCATATACCAACATATTGATTAGTGGTATTATCAGGACACAAAACGCCTAACTCAATAAGATGGGTAGGGGAGATAAGGATTTCCTTTTGTGATAATGGATTGGATGAAGTTACATTATAAATTTGCAGCATAGCAGTGCAAAAGAAACAAGTTCAAAAGGATGAAGATGGAAGATAATAAAATGCTGAAGCGTTGGTTCTCTTGAAGCATGGTTCCCTCGAATTGTTTGTTCATAAGATCAGAGATATCAAGATTAATATGTCAAGGCAAGTAAACAATTAATTAATATATCGAAAAAAAAAGTTTATCAAGCATATTTACACACAAAAAAAAAGAAGAAAAATATTTTAAAAACTATGTTAGTTTAATAAATTTTTATTAAAAAATATCAAAATAACCTATCTTTTAAAGCAATAATGATATTGTTTTAGTTTTTTTTTTGTGAGGTTTTATTAAAATAATATAGTTTTAAAGTATTTTTTAATCTAATTTTTTTATAAATTCAACTAATAAATATTAATATGTTATCTCTTAATATATTCCATTTTATTTTAGGAAAAGAATTCGAACATTCAGGAGGAAAAAAAAAAAAGCTTCTATTACAATTCAATAACTATTTTGCAAAGAAATTCAAAGGATAATAATTGATGGTAAACCGTGTGAATGCAAAGAAATTTCTTTGCTTGAAAGTGTCAAGGGAATAAGGCGTAAGAGGTGTCCTATCAATTTTGTTGAAATTTCAAGGATGTCAATTTTGTTGAATAAAAATTACAATATATGATGAATTAGAAATCTCACAAATATAACAAATAAATATGTGAATTAAATGTAAGAAGGACTATTTTATCTATTATTTATTAGTTTTAAGTTTGATACAAGCCTTATATTGAAGTTTACATAATTTTTATATAATATCAAAGTCATATCTCTATTTTTACAAAATCTATTGTTTGTTTATCTGACAAAACTTGAAATTCAAACTCAATGTTTATAATGGGCCTCAAAAGATCTAACAAAGAAACATAGAAGTTTAATACAAAGAGTGTTATTTTATTTATTACTAATTGATTATAATTTAGATGTAAACTTTGTATTTAAACTCATATGTCAATTTTCACATGGTATCAAGTTCTATTCTTGAAAAACAGGGACATATTGAGTGGCAAAATTTTATATTGAGAAAATAACAAAAAAACATATAGATTAAATAAGAGAAACATTATTCTACTTATTGCCAATTAATTTTAAATTAGATGCAAGTGCACATGTTAATTTTCACAATAACCACTTATGCATCAATAGATGAAGTTTCACAATAATCACTTGCGCATCAATCAATGAAGAACATTACAATTATCACTTAAAGCTTAATTTTATCAAAAAAGAAAA